GCGATGGTGTGCTCATCAGAATCCAGCAGCGAGAGAGATGCACCGTATATGGTGGTTGGTGTGAGTTTTGGTTGCGGGTTGGTCGTCCGAGTGGTAGAGGAAATGTGAGAGGCTGAGGGTTTGTTATAATATCTCTTGTGTTGAACGAGAGGCAGGCAAAGGGTTTGGGGAATGGTTGGTTGGTTGGACATTGGAGGGGCCACTGGGTTTTTGGGGGGCTAAGGCGAAATCGATGGCAGTTTTGGTGAGGGTTTGGGAGTTTCTTTAGGGCTGAACTGTTGATACCAAGGCTGGCTGTGAGGGGGAAAAGTGATGGTTTGCTGTGATTTCGGGTTGAATGGACTGGGAGGCTGGTGTGAGGTGAGAGAGGCTGTGTTATGGTAGCGACTGTTTATTTCGAGGGAGAAGATGGTAATGGTGGCTGAGCTATGGATAGGCTAGGTTTTTGTTCGGAAGATTGGGGAATGAGAAAAGGATTAGAATGCTGGCTATTGAAGATGGTGGTGTGAGGCTGTAAGGGTTGAGTAAGAGGTTCTGTTCTTGATGTTCTTGGCCGTGCAAAATGAGAAGCTCTCTTGTTCTTCTCATATTTGATCTTTTTCTTCGTCGTCTTGCTTGTGCTAGTATTTAATTGGAGAGGAACAATAAATTGAAGGCAAGATTTTGGGAATTGATGCTGGAAATTTTGTGATTTGCAGGATATTGCTGATTTCATGGAACTGGGAGATTGATATCTGGACTTAATTGCTTGGGATTTTAATCGAAAACTTGAAATTAATGACGGGATTTTGAGGTTTGAATGCTTGATTAACTTGGACTAAAATGAATCAATTAAAGACAATTGGACTGAAACGGAATTGATTGGGCGTAGTTGATTGGAATGAAACAAACAGGACAGAAAAATAATTAAGCAAAAAGTCAAATGGTCCTCTTAGTACTTAATACGTCTCATTACAGTCCTTTTCTTTTTAATGGTTCAATTTCACTCAATTAAGATGTTTAATTTTGAAGTTTCTTTCTATTTAAATCTTAAATTGAATTAATTTATCTTTCCAATTTTAATTTAGAATCTCAGGTTTTTTTTTTTTGGTTGCAAACTGGGCTCCTAATTGAATATTGAATTAATTTATTCCTTTATAAATTCATTTTTGGTTCTTTCAATTTAAATTTATTCCTTTATATTTAATTTTGTTATAAATTCATTTTTGGTTCTTTCAATTTTCATTTTTTAATCTAGATGGACTCTCAATTTCAAATTAATTTTTTAATTAAATCCTCTATTAATTTCTAACTTGGTTATTTATTTTAAAATCATACTTAACCTCAATTTTCTTTCAATTTTAGCCAAATTAAATCAATTCAAACCTTTTCTTTTATCAATTTATGGTTTAAAAATTTTAATTGTAACTCAAAAATTCTCAAACTTTATTTTTTTTATATGATGTTCAATTATTGACCCAATTTTCAACCCTAACTATTTTTTAATTTTGTATTTTTAATGATTTTTCATGATTTTAAAAAATTAAATAAAAAATAATGAAATGATTGGAATTAACTAGACTTATTGAAAAAATATATATTTTTTGGATTTTTTTCCTAATTTTTTAAAAATGTACAAAAAATAGGAGCAAAAAATTAAGTTAGAATAATATCAATGAGATTTTCAATAGTAAAACATCAGTGAAATGAACTAGTAAAATAACTAGGAATACAATGAGAAAATTATATTATTATAATTAGGTTTAAAGAGATAATTATTTGTTACAATAGTTCTAGCTTGCTCTTGTATATTGATATGTTGTGATTAGCATTTCATTAATTAATATGGAATAATTAAGCACAACAAACTATATTTTATTTAACATTTTTTTTTTGTTATAAAATATGTAGAGTTATCCACAGGGGGCAGAGGCATTGTCTTTTTAAAATTTCATTTCATTTTTGTTTGGGAATATAAGTAGTAAGCCTATAAAATATCGTGAAATGATTTCTTTTTTATAATATAACAAATGAATCATTATTTGGGCCATGATAGAAATATTTTGTGTTTTTTTTATAAGCTGTTTAATTTAATATATTAATATTTAAAATAGAATAATTAAAAAACTGATTTAAGATAAAATATGGCATTAATTTGGTGCATGTCAACCAAAATATGGTTTGAAGATTTATTATTACACAAGCACACTAGGTGTATGAGAATAAAAAAAAATTATTTTTTTAATTAATTATGGTATTAAGATAAATTATTATAAATGCAATAGCTCATGTGAATTAAAAAAAAAATTAATCCATTAGTTCAATGAAGAACATTTCTATAATTGGGTGGTAAGATAAAACAATGGAGTGTAGTAGTCTTGTGGAATGCATTGGTAATCCATTCATGCACTGTTGTAACCTCCAAATAATTTTTTTCCCCCTAAATGATAAACCAATTACGTCATGAACAACTTAAATAATTTGATAAATTCTTCGTACATATTGAGAAAACAATTTGATGGTCAGAATAGGGTAAAACACAATAAATCTAATTTATAATTTTATAACTTTATTATGATCCGTTTTTCAAATAAGTTAATAATTTCTTAAATAAGTTTAAAAACCAATCGAGAAAAATGAAAAATATAAAAAAAATTAATAAAATCATAAAAAAACTAGGATTAAAAAAACACCAATCTCAATATTTGATTTTTTAAATTAAATAGAAAAAAAAACACCATTAAAATATTTTTCTCAACTAAATAGAAAATAATAACAACTAAAAAAAATAATTTTTCCCTAAAACTTCTTCAAGATCAGTCTATATAAGTTGGAGAACTCACCCTCGAGTTTTGATCATCATGTTGCCATCGTTGTTGACCGCTTAAAATAGTGTTGAAGTTCTTGCACTCCCTTTAATTTGTTCTACATTGACTCAAATGAGATGAAATAAGCTGAATATTAATTTTTATAACACATTTAATTTTTATACAACTATCATTAAAACGTCTTCTACATTATACCCTCACTCGTATTATTGAAACTCTCCACTTTTTTTTTTCCATTATTTTGAATAAAAATAATATGTTTTTATTTTTACTTATAACAATCATCTACTCTTTTTTAGATGGTGATATTATATACTTAACTCTTACATCAAAAATACATGTATAATATTAGCCATTATGCAAGATAAGTCTTATCATATTGACATCACTTGTTTAATAGTTAATATAACATATCACATCAAATATTATTAAAATATTTTTTATTTATAGAAAACAAAATGAGATAATAACTGCTTACAATTACCTACATATGATTATCATTCTCTTTTTATTATTGCATCCTCTGATTATTATAATGACTGATTAATAGCTTATTGTTTTTTAAATGTCAAAACTCTTTGACATGCTTTCAAAATTCTTTACATATTCTAAATGGACCATTATAAACTACTCAGATATTTTATCATTAGCTACCATTCCATTTATGTTAAGTTATTTTTGGCCATTAATTACTAGAATTATCTAGTATAATTATTGATAAATTTACTTTATTCAATATCAATTGATATATAGTTATGATATCAATTAACACATATGGAAACACAAGAAATAGAACAATAGCAGGAGAAAACATATTAATGATAAAAGTAGAATAAAACATATGAACTATAATTCATAGTTTTAGTTTTATTGCTAAAGAAAAGAATATATCATAATATGTCTCTTTAATAGATTTATAATTTTTTAAATAAGTCAAAAACTAACCTAAACAAAACCAAAAAATTGAAAAACAAAAGTAATAATATAAAAAAATATTTTTCTAACCTAAGAAAATATTTGTTCTTTAAAAATTCTCCTCATCAGTATCTCATAAAAATCTAACCGTGATCCTTCAAAAGAAAGAAGAAAAAAAAATAGAAAAGGAGTTGGCATGCTAACTATACAAGATTTAATTATAACTAGAGACATTAATTATTTCTCTGATCACTTGCAGCAATATAAATCTCCCAAGGCAAGACCCTAATACATTCATCTTTATACTGAAGAACCATGGCATCAACATATTCTTACATGTTTTTTTCTGTGTTTGTTTTTGTCTCCAGTAGTTCGCAAGTCTCATATGCAAGACATCCTAAGACCCAACTTGACTTGTCTGCCGACTTTGCAAGTTTCCAAGCAGAAAGGCTGATAAGATCTTTCAACCTGTCCCCTAAGCAAGCCGTCAACATAGATGCCTTTTAATGATCTTCAAGCTTTGAACAGTTGTGCACCAAAAATAGTTGAGAAACAATTCCATTTCCATGTTCTTGTTACTGTTCAAGAGTTTGGTCATTATCGCTTTTCACATACTACAGGTGCAAGGTAATTAAGTCAGAAATGTATTGAATATGCACATAGATTTTCAGCCAACTAATTGTAATTAATGCTGTTAAGTATCTGCTGCTTGTTATTTGCTGGATTTTCTGCTTCTTCGTCGAATTGTTGGTTAACAAGAGTAGCGATCCTGTTGTTATATGGTTGACAGGAGGGCCAGGATGTGGTAGTCCTTTGGCCTTGTTTCATGAAAATGGTCCTCTCCACATTGAAAACAATCTCTCTCTTTCATGGAATGACTTACGGTTGGGACAAGGTATCTATTATTGCAGTGCTATAACATTTCTGATAATTTTTCTCTATAAATTTCAAACTCCCTCTGCTTCATAAGCAAGTTTTTTTTGTACCCTTTGATTTAGGAATATTGTTATTGTTCTTTGGCAGGCATCGAATATTATATTCGTTGACCAGCTTACTGGAACTGGCTTTAGTTATACGTCCAACAGATCCGAGTGACATTCGCAACGACGAAAATGGTGCCAGCAATGACTTGTATGACTTCTTGCAGGTGAGTTTTCTTTCATTTTACGTTACGAGTTTGCTCACATTTTGACAACATAAGAAAATTTCCTTAATTGATATACATGCATACATACATATATATCTTCATGATCTCTCCCTGTGATTCTATACGCATTTTTCAAAGAGCATCCTAAGTTGGTGAAAAATGAGTTTTGACATTACTGGAGAATCTTATGCTGGGAACTAAATCCCTACATTGGCTTCCCGGGTTCACAAAGGAAACAAAAACAAAGAAGGAATTCATATAAACCTCAAGGTATGCACCCGTCGCGCTCAGATATTGCTTCTTTTTCAGCTGTTTGTTCACCATTGCTTAATTTGATTTCTAGTTTTTCTAAAAACTAGAACTTTTGTTCAATAGGGTTTTTCCATTGGCAATGGTCTCACTCTGCCTGATATTCAGTTCAAAGCATACACTGATTTTGCTTTGGAAAACAAGTTAATCCAAGAATCTGACTATGATTCCATTAACGAGTTGATCCCAGTCTGTGAACAGGCAATTAAAGATTGCGGTACTTGTTCTTAGTTTGGTTTCATTTTCTCCGAGTACAAAGCATGTACTGAACCAGTACTTGGTTTTACTCTCTCTTGCCAGGGACTGATGGCCTATATACTTGCGAAAATGCATTGGTGGCGTTGTTTTTGACGCGATGGTAAGGGATTGGATGAGAAACCCTGCATTAGGAATTCCTGCTCTCCTTGAAGTTGGTATCAGTTTGCTTAATTATGCTGGAGAGGAGGATCTCACATGCAACTGCCTTGGTAAATCTATATGGTATATCAACCTAATTAACCTTGTATTTATCACATTCTTGATGTGCTTGCTTTTTTCAAGGAAATTCAAGGTGGGTAAATGCATTGGCATGGTCTAGGAAGAAGAAAGCCTTCGGAGAAGCTCCCACAGTTCCATTCGTTGATGAAGGAAAAATGCAGGACAGCTAAAAAGTCTTGGTTTCCTAAAGGTGATTCTCTACCCGTATGTTTTTCTCTATTGCTTATGTGTGTGCCTTGACGATATTTACTTCTTTCTCGAACAACTCTGATGTTCTATAACTACCAGGTTCACAATGCTAGTCACTTTGTTCCAATGTATCAGCCAAAAGCTGCATTAACAATGCTGAAGACCTGGTTGCAAGGAAATCTGTCTCTCCGTGGTAACTTGCGTCTGCTGTTTTAGCATGTTCAAGCATTGTCTCACATCTATGGTTGTCCGAAATGGCGTTTTGTGAACTTCTGGTATGATGGATTCTTCTAATCTAAATATTCATGCTATCAGGTCTTAGGAGCTACAAAATAAAAGGCACCTACATTTTTCACGCATATGTCTCCAGAGTGAACTCAATTAGTTTGCTATTGGTAATCATTAAAAGACCCCAACTCAATTCAAAATTGAAGTAAAAGAAACCAGTTTGAGCAATTTGACAGGATTGATAATATCAACAAGCTATCAGATACGAGATTAGGAAATCTATGCATGATTACATGTCTGAGAAATGGAGCCTGTTACATAAACAAACAGCAGGCCATACTCCTAAAGAACGACAATTTGAAACATTTGATACGATACAAAGATATCCCTGAATGCTTAAACCAACGCATGGTTTAAGACTGTAGTAACTCTAGATACACAACCAATTTACCACCAATTCCAGACAGCGATAAGCAATGGTTTAGAAAATGTATGTCCAGATGTAAATCAGTGCTTTTGATTTCTCAGGTGTGGTAAACGAATTCAGCATCAAAACAAATGATCACTTTAAACCATATCTCCAACCCACAAGACCTCCTATCTAAGGAACATATCTGCAACCCACAAGACCTCCTTGCTAAGGAACACAAGATATATGGAATGTTTCCTGCAAAATAGATAGCTTTGCCATTCGAAAGATGGATGGACAAAAGAATTAAGAAGCTGCTGGTTCTACCCCCTCCTTCAGTGATTCAATTGCAAGCTTGAAACCAGACCTCAAAGGCACACCAGCGACAACTTGCAAGTGTCACGCATTACCATTTGGAATCAATTCTTTACTATGATTGAATTTGAATATAGTGTTCAATTTGAAATAAAATCATTACTACGTTGAATTCACATATTTGTAAAAGATGAAATTCAATTCATTTTGTTTTTTATATTACTCTCATTCTTTCAAAAAAATAGATGTGTAGATAAATATTATAAAAAAGCTAATTTTACCATTAAATTTCTCATTTTTAGAATTGTAAAATAGATACAATGACCTCTTATTTATTTTTATTTAATTTTTAGAAATTGAATATTATTTAAAATTCAATTATTCACATTCAAAATGGTTTCAAACATGAAATTTTACTAAGCTTTGAATTGAATTCAATTTAGAGGGTTTCAAAACATATTTGAAGGGTAAAAATCCTAGAAACTATAATCAAGATTGAATCCTAATCCAAAAAAGCTGAAATTAGATTTGATGAAACTGACTTAATGATTACTTGAATCAAATAACCAAAATTATAAAAATTAAACACCATAAAAAATAAATCTTTGATAACTTTTGAATTGATGAACAAACAAGAGCAAGAAAAATCCTCTTCAATATTATTTTTAAAAATCAATAAGTTCTCCTAACTAATAAATCAAATAAAATATTTATAGTTCAACAAAATAAACCCTATTGGAATATTAAGTTGAAATTAAAACCCAAATATATAATAGTTTAAGAATATTTTAAAATAAAATAACAAAATTTTTATTTTTATTAAAAAAAGTCCAACTTGTATAGTGATTTTGACCCTTATCAAAAAAAGTTTTTTTACACCCACACACATTTTATCATTATGAAGTTTTAACTCTATAAGAAGTAGGGTCTTTAAAGTTGCATGAAAAAAATTTAGTTCAATTCAACTATCAAATTAAAAGTTATAATCATTAATATAAAGTTGTGTAGTGAAGCTCTGATATATTTTAAACAACCCTATAACTTAATGTACCACATTAATTAAGACTTGATCTTTCTTTGAACTCAATTTCATACTTGATCAAAAAAAAAAAAAAACTTCATGCATGATGCCATATTAGAAAGAATTATCAAGCTTACTTGCATAAATGTCATGAATCAATCCATTAAATACCTTTTTGATCTTCTTGATTCTTACCCTTATAATTATTTTAAATGACACATAATAGATTTTGTGGTGTTGCTCATGATTCCTCTTTCCTTTAAAAGAATATATCATCAAATCATCACTTAAATAAAATGGATAAATATTATAAATATTAAATATAACATTAATATTATACTTACTTGGAAGTTCCACTTATATGTATTATCATCTGTTCAAGAACTTGGAATGAACCATCTATCTTATATGAAACTTAGATTGTCTATGAACTAGAAATCTTTCCTTCCTTATTTGCGCCCAAACTCAATCACCAGGTCCAAAGCTAACACACTTATGATCCTTGTTGGCTTTAGATACATATTGTTCATTTTTTTTTTTATATATTTGTTATCAAACACTTTCATTGAGTTTCTTCACTATTCTTTTATCCATATTTATACATTTTTCACAAATAACATGGCCAAGAAAAATAACTTTATCCATACAAAAAGTACACTTTTTTAAGTTGACATTTCATTCCTCAAAATTTCATTCACATAAAGTAAATAATTAACATGTTTATCTAACTTTCATTATAAACCAACATATCATCAAAATAGACTATCACAAGCATGCCTATAAAAGCACACAATACATGTTCATCAATCTCTCAATATTATCAGGGTATTAGTGAGACTAAATGACATAACCAACCATCCATATAACCCATCTTTAATATTAAAAGTAGTTTGTCATTTAATTCTTGTATTCCAATTTTATGATAACAACTTTTCAAATTAATTTTTGAAAAAGATACATGAACCAAGTTATCCATCTAGCCTAAAAATTATATGTCTATACTTTCTATAATGTTATTGACAACTCGGCAACATTCATCCTTCGAACCCATCATCTTTCAACACAAGTAATATAGGAATCACACATGAACTCATGTTCTCCATTATATACCTTTTAGCCATCAACTCCCCAACTTAACTTTAAAGCCCATTTATCTCCTCGTGAATATTTCTATAGGATGAATGATTATAAATCACAGCTTCAAGTTCAAGATCAATTTAATAATCTATTTCTTTTATTAGTGATAAACCACTAAGAACATATCTGGAAAACATACTTTTAAATTCCTGCAACAAAGAAACAACAATACTAAGAATAAAAGGATCAAAGTTATTAGTATTAAAACTTGTCTCTTTGTGTAAAAGTACAAATATAGGTGACATGACTAAAAGATTGATGTCTTCTCCCAAGTGCAGGAGTGTCGAAGTAATAAATAACCCGGCAAGACCGGGGTCGAACCACAGGAAGGTTAATTGTATAAATTATAAATAACAAAAATACAACAACAATAACAA